CAAACAAAGAAAAAGATGGTGATGCTAATGATGATGAAGACGTGCAAGAAATTGGATCTACATCTACTTGAAGCTTGAATTAATGTTACTATGTTAGTGTTTGTTAATTTTGATTTAGAGTAATATGAATCAACATAACACATAAAAATATTAAAAAAAAAAAAATTCGCCGTGTCCCCTGTCATGCCCGTGTTTCCATTTTTTGGAAATTACCGTGTCCCGTGTCCGTCTCCCGTCCTCAAAGGAATTGTCCTGTATCAGCTGCATCGGTCTATGACAATAACATATAGCAAGCTGTACAGTCTTCTGAATATCAACTGTAGGACAAACATTTTGGTGACTCCACAAGGGCCACGAGAATGTCTCTGTGTTCAGCATATTACTCCCATACTTGAGGAATGTCACCATTTACAATAATTATTCATCTTTGTCAATCAAAGGAGAGAGACCGTTGCTTCGATGCCAAAAGAGCAAGGAGAGGTAAGAGATTGAGGTTTTTAAATATGTTCAAGAAATTGAAAGTTTCCTTAGGATCCGTTCAATTAGAGTGGAAAATATGTGTAAAAAGTGAAGTGAAAGAAAGAAAGAAAGAAAATACATATATACAAAGGAAAAGAAAATATATTTTCTAGTATGCATTTGGTTAAGATGAATTAAAAAAAATAACAGTTGGTTGTTTACATGAAAAATAATTTTTCCTGTGTTTTTCTACAAGAAACTAAAAGCCAAGTTATCATGCTAATACGAGTCGTACAAGAAATTTAACTTTCCTACATTTTCCACCATTCATATGCTAAACAAACGTAGTAACTGTTTCATGTTTTCTCTCTTTTTTTGTGCTTTCTGCATACTTTCATCCTAACCAAACGTAATCTTAGAAAATGCCCATTTACATTTAGTACAAAATCTGGGGATTAAGAAGCCACATTATTTCAAGCAGATTCGAGAAAGAAGTCCGATCATGATTAGTTTAAACTGCAAAGGATGTTAAAGCTAGATCATGGGCATAACATCTTTTAACACCAAAATATGACCTCCTTGTGAGCACTTCTGGTAAAGCAAGAGTGGTCTAACTATGGTTTGTCTTCTTTCTATGTTACATGCAAAGTACTAGAATTGGGTGCTGATGTGTGTCAGAGCGTCCAACGACCTTCATAAATCTAAACCATAAGATAATTGGGATATGTACCCAAAAGTTGGATATGAATACGGAAATGCATCATGTACACATATATATGTTGTATAATTTATAATATCTTAGATAAGATGATTTAATTACGTAAGAATGTACTTAAAATTAAATAAAATTTAGTTAAAACATTCACTTTTCATCTCTCATCCAAGTAAGGCTAGAAATGTTTCTTTACTAACAAATGTGAGTTTCTTCTTCTTTAAACATCATAAAAAATTAAAGGATCCAAGCATCTAAATTGGATACAGGCTATGAAGTATGGACACTCCAAAATCGGTGCCGTGGTGGTGTTTGACATGTGGACACGCTAGGGACACACCAGATGGCATGCCCCTTTAATTTAATGATTTTTTTATAGGGACACGGCGAGGACACGCGTGTCCATGTCGGGACACGGCATGGGACACGGCGGGACTCGCCTTTTTGTTTTTTTGTTCCCTTCTTTTGCCTCTCTTATTTAGTGTTTTTGTGAAAAATATTGTTGAATGTTGAATGTTTTCCCCTTTTCGTCTTAGTTCTTATTATCATTTATTATGACTTTTTTGTGAATGGATGACCTATTAATTTGTTTAAATGTAGTAGTTATATTTATTGAATTAATGTTACTATGTTAGTGTTTGTTAATTTTGATTTAAGATGAATGTAATATGAATCCACATAACACATAAAAATATATATATATATATAAAATAATAAAAAAAACATTCGCTGTGTCCCCCTCGTCTTTGTCCCCATTTTTTAGAAATTGTCGTATCCCGTGTCGGTGTCCTTGCTTCATAGGTTACCACGCTGGGAATACATCTGAGCAGCAACAATCCATATCTCATGAGCAATATCCATCAAAACAAAAGAGCGACTTATACTAGGATGAATAGAATTAATGTGTCAAGTCATGACAAGAGCATTCTCCATAAGCCATTTATCTTGGGCTAATCCATCCTCCTTGGGAGCTGTGGTAACTCCCTTGATGTAACTAGGCATGCCATGAGCAGTAATGGCCAATTGAAAAGAGCACGACCAAACCAAATAATTAGTGCCATCCAACTTAACGGACGTAAGCTGAAGAGAGGAATGTTCACTAAGAGAGACATGGGGACTGAACTCTTTCACTTCACTACTTACAAGGGTCTTACCATCATCAGCCATGGCCTAAACAATGTGAGCACACCCAAAGAATAATCCAGCCACAACCCAACAGCAGCAAAGATAGGGCAAAAAAAAAATCACACTAAAGCAGGAGACCAAAAACAAGCTTGTGGAGACCCAAAAGCAATCAACCGAAGCATTGGGGGCCTGAAAATCAATCAAACACCATCCAGATACAGCAACCAATGGTAAAGAAGCCTGGAAAAGCCCCAGTTGGCTGCCAGAGAAGGCAGCCCAAGTGTTGGATTGAAGCAAAAACAGCCAAAAGACAGAAATTGAAAAAATAGGCCTATTTTTCCTAAACATAAAGAAAAATTGGAAAAACTAGGCAACCAAGAACAAAAATTTTTGAAATTTTTTTTGAGAACCCCCCCTACCCTAGACAATCATGGTAGGGAATTTTTTTTTTCTTTTTTTTTTTACATTATGAGATAGGAACAAAAGGAATAAAAAAATAAAAAATAAAGAAATAGAAAAACAAAGAATAAAAACCTGCTCTGATACCAAGTTAATACTGTAGCATAATAGTTGAGAGAGAGAGAGAGAGATTTGCTGGAAGAGGAGTCATAAAACCTAATTAGGTTTCTTACCTCACTAAGCACTTGTATTTATAATAATAAGAGAACAAGTACAATGATACTAATACCCTTAAGCACATAACTTAACAAATCCAATACTAATTGATTCGGATGATGAATGGATTGCTATAAAAGAAGATCCCGTCCTCCCTTTGATGCTTCTTGGCTTGATGAAGAAGAATTGTTCGATGCTGATATAATTAGGACTGTGCCTGTCATTACTTACGATAGAAATGTGTAGACTCGATCAACTATGACTACGGTTGATGTTGACTGATCTTTGACTGCAAAGCAAAGAAAAGTCGGTGAAGGTTCAATTAAGTTGTTAACAATTATGGACATGTTGCATATATATTATTATATGTGCCTCTTTAATTAATTCAAAATCCTATTTCTTGTATAGGAAATGATCACGGAAAAGGCAAGGTTGCGAGATACTGCCTTGTTGATGAAGATATCGAGTTGGAGGAGGCTGGTGGAATAGATGATGGAACCTATCCCATTATAGATGTAGCAGATGAAGATGATGATAATATTAATGAGGATGACTTGAGTGACCTATCATTTATTTATTGCTTTTGTTTATAGAGTATTAGAGTTTAAGTTATTTTGTTTATGGAACAATTGGAATTTAAGTTATTTTGACTAAAGTGAGTTATTTTTTTATTATAGTATTAATGGGAATGGCTTAGAAAGCTATTACAGTACTTGAATTTATTAATGAATTTTGGTTTTATGCTTAGAATGGCTTTTATGAATTTTACTTGCTAATTCTTATTTTTTTACTCTTTTTTATGCTATAATTAATTAATTTTGTATTTTGTAAAAATAAAAATTCTAATTTTACAAGGCTTACACGTTAACGCCTTGAGGCTTACGCCTCGCCTCAGCAAGGGCAAAACGCCTCGCCTTGCACTTTCGCATTTAAAAACTTTGCATACGCCAACTACTAATTCTATCTTTTGCGGAGAATCTGTCTTGACATAACACCCAAAGGATGAAGGCACGTGTGGGTATACTTTGCTTAAACCAAACAATATTAAACTAGGGGACTTGGTTATACACCGATGTATTTTATAAGTAGTTGTCCTAATTTCTGAGACTAAAATTTTCTCTCACGATCCAAGAAGATTCTGCTGGGATAGGCAACCCCCACAAACTGTTGCACTTTATTATAAAAGTATGAACCCACTTCACCCATAAAGAATCAATTTTCTTGCTAAGGGCCCACAAATGTCTATCCATTGTAGCTCTGTTCCATTTTGTAAGAGATCTGATACCAAGACTTTCCTCATATTTGGGAGCACACTTGCTCCAGTGAAATTTTTCTCCCATATGTTTTATGTTAGCCCCAGTCCAAAGGAAAGACCTTAATATACTTATTACCTTCTTTAAAACTTTTTGAGGAAGAGTGAATAAAGAACTCCAGTAAACCTGTATGCTGAACAACACAGATTGCACCAACTGAAGTCTACCCCCATAGGACAATAGTCTATTAATTCATCCCTGGATTCTACTAAGTATCGTCTCAACCAGCTGCTTACAAAGATTGGCTTTAAGATTGGAAGAGATCAAGGGAACTCCTAAATATTTCACTAGAAGAGTCACTTCAGGAATACTCTAGATATCTTCTAATGCTTCTTTTTCTTCAGCAGAGACACTTGAGTAAAAAAGAAAAAGCACTTTTTTGCAGATTGGTTTCAAGCCGGCATGGTGAAAAAATTCATTCAAAGTATCTTTGATCACTTGAAAAAATTTCTTATTTTGCATAAGATGAACAAGCCATCAACAAAAGTCAAATGAGATAGCTTCAGCTTATCGCATTCAGGAAAGCTCTGTCAATATTTATTCCAAGATCATTACCTATTTATGTCTGGATTAATCTTATTTTAACAATATCTGCATTTATGGGGTTTGTAAATGATTAAAGATGTATAAAACCTTATCGTGCTCTTCTTACCTATTAAAGTGGCATATTTGTTTTCAAATTCTATTCCTTGATGCTTTGAAAATGAAAATTAGTTAAAGTGAGATTCTGTAAAGGACTCCTAATCTGCGATTAATTTCTCAAATTCATTAACATGTGGTTCTCCACGGGTTCTCTTCAAACAACCCTTAAAAATTGGTGGTTTAGTCAATTATATGGTCCTGTCACCTGTGACCAATGGCATTGGATATGCCATGCCTGCTTTTATTTTACCCCTATTCGAGAGTGTCTGTGTATGCTTGTGTTAATGCACCCACTTTTGACCTCTGGCAATAACACTGCAGAAATGTTTTTCTAATTTCTGTTTCCAGGTATATTATCTTCTGATTAAGTTTGAAAAAGATACTGGATTGATATTCTGGTTCCCTCACCCTATGCCAGGAAATATGGAATAGTCCATATTCGAATGATAGTTTTCCAGTATACGCAGAGGATGTTGATGCTGGTGGTGATGCATCCCCTTCAACTGCAATGCTGTCTGAACTTTCTCAGAGTCTGCAGATCACAATTGTTGGTGGCTCTATACCAGAACGTTCTGGTGATAGGTTGTATAATACCTGCTGTGTCTTTGGTACTGATGGAAAGCTTATGGAAAAACACCGGAAGGTATGTTCACAATGCCAATATGCTTACATCATATCGTCAGAAAAAAGTAGGCAGCATGATAACAAAGATAAATAATTGATTCTGTTTGACCACTTTGCAATCATTCTCTCCCTAATTATGGTGGTTTAACAAATCTTCTGGTCATATTGCATTACAGATACATCTTTTCGACATTGATATTCCAGGACAGATGACCTTTAAAGAATCACTGACTCTTACAGCAGGGGAGAGTCCAACTATTGTGGACACAGGTTTGGTGTGCTTTCCCTTCACCAGTTACAGAGATCAGCGGGACATGGACTGAAACCTTTGTCCTATGCTTGATCTTGAATATTCTTGTTAATTCATTTATTACTTTGAGTAAAAGGCTTATTTGCATTTTCAAAGAGTTTCTTCACCAGATAGCAACAGTAGTTTGAGGAAACACTTGATTCCACTTCAGCTTGAACAAGGGAAACTAAAAATAGAAAATCACATGCTAGTATGCTACTACTTTTTTTTATAGGTACACCATTAATCAGTTTGAAGGTTTTGACAGTCTAATGGAGATTGAATCCGTCATTTATTAAGCACGTGAAGTTACAAGTTAGAGAGTGTGCTATGTTACATGGGGTATGAATGTCGGGATCCATAAATTCTCAATTGTAAGTGTATGTGGACTAGACAAAAAATGGTTGATAAGTGTAGAGGCAAACTGAGAATATGGAAACGTGAAGGGAATGCCAGTTTGCCGAGGGTCAAAATCAAAGTTAGCCAGTTTCTTTTAGAGCTCACAAAGGAAACGAAGAAGAAAAAAGAGAGGAGGCTGAAATCAAAAGTGGGATTGAACCTGCCAAAATCAGGCTTTAAAAAGGGGGAAGCAGGCTTATAGTTTCGAAGGAATGTTTCGGATCCTTCCAAAAGATGCTTCATCAACGGCCCACAGGGCAATCATCCTCATCCGTCAATTAATAATAAATACTTAGCTTGGACCCCAGACACGTGTCCCACTGCGTGATCCATCCGTCTTTCATCAAGCGGGGGGATTCCCTACATGCACCTGAAGGGGGGCACGCACCACAATCTCAACCTTTAGAGGTCGGTCGATAGAGATGCTTCCACGACCAATCAAATGTCAGTCGGTAGAGGTTGGTCGGTAGTGAAGCTTCCAAGACCAATGAGAGTTTAGTCGGTAGAGATGCTTGCACGACCAATCAGAGGGTGGTCAGCGGAGGCACCCCCACGATCAGTCAGGAGGTTGGTCCATAGTAACAGTAAAATATGATTCCCTTCGTTGGAATTAAGTTGCAGACGGAAAGGGGGGACTGCTGATAAATATAGAGCATCGTCTTGGCCCCAAAGCCCAAAACCAACCTAAGCCTAGGCCTGTCACGATCCCATCCCACCCCAAACAAGATAGTAGTTGCGACTGGCCAGTAGTGTTTGACTATCAAAGGCTTAGCAATACAAGACAAGACAAGATTGGACTAACACATTGGGGCTTATGCGGAAAAAAAAAAAAATATATTTGTCCATTAATTACCCAAAGTCTATTCAGAGCATGTGCATAAGTCGTATGATACAAAAACAAGCAACTTTATTTATTTATATCTGACATTTACAAGCTCAATATCCAAAAAGATAAGTACAATATTTACGAATATACAATCAACAAAAACCAAAACTCATATACAAGATCATTGTCTGAAAACAGCATCTTCCAAAAGTAGAAAAAGAAAAGAAAAAGACTTCTAACTTGATCTCTCATCCTCAATTGGTTCTTCGCCATCACGTGCATACATATAAGGGGGAGGGGTGAGCCAAAGGCTAGTGAATAGCAATATAGTAAAGTGGTAAATGAATGAACACTAATAAGTTTATTTAAAACCAAGCACAAGTTCATTTCAAACATAGTATAATTTGCACATGATAATAAAGCTTAACTTGCAAGCATATACATAGCGATGAACATTCTCAAGGCACTTCAGATCAGAGTTAGGGGGCCACAGTAGGTGGCAAGGAGCTTGGTTAGCATGAGGCTATTGGCATGATTCCCAACAAGAAACAAGTTCCAAGATGTCATCTTAATACATGATATAAAAATATACGATGTTCATTCATAGCAAAACAATATTTAGCTTTCATAAACATATCATACGTTTGCATTTCAAATCATAATTTTAAGAAACATAACTTTACTACACTACTACTCACAATTGCCTCTTTGCACAAGGGTTTAATCTCCACAAGACCTGACCTACAAAAACAAGAACAAAACATTGAACTTCCTAAACATTAACATAACAAATTTGTTCCTAAACTTAACTTTAGTTTTTCTTTCTTATTTTAACTTGATTTGGATTGGTTTCTAAGTGTATTCAACTTTCAAATAGGTTCAAAACGCATATAAGGATGCCTGAGGGTCGAAGAAAATAGAATGAAAACAAACAGATATTGCCCCTGAAATCTGCACGTGCAGTGGAACAGGGCCGCACGTGTGGAGTCGTGCATGCTATTAAAGCAGTCTTGAAATATTTTTTGGGTTGGTTGGCCGCACGTGCGAAGGCCCTTTCTGCACGTGCGGAGGGTGTGCTGCATGAGCGGAGCTTCCGACCGCACGTGCGGAGGGTGTGCCGCACATGTGGTGCTTCCGGCCGCACGTACGGGAGAATTGGGTAATTTCGGCTGAAGCTGTTCTTTGCGATTTTTGGCTTCCAAAACCTATTTTTCATATTTTCCAAACCCAAACATGTTCTATAACATCGTAATATGCATACATATGAAAACATGTTTGTATGAATGAATTTGAGATGAAAACAATTAAAAGATAAGATTTGATCAAGAAATTATATCTTTTCAAACTTTTCTTATTCCATCACTTTCAATTCCTTGAAACATAATTCTAAGGTTCCTAGGCATGAAGGAATAATGTAAATTCATAGCATAACCCCCTTACATAACCCAAATCTATGCTAAAAACAACTCAAAACATGTTTTCTTCCTATAAATCTTCAAACTTTTTTCTTAACTTCTAACTTTTCTATTTTCTTTCACTTTAATCTTCTCAAAACTTGTTTCTAATGAATTTTTAGCTAGGTTTTGACATCAATTTATGGAAGAGGATTGAGTTTCTTACCTTGTAGTGATTTTCTTAGGATTTCTAGGCTTGAATTCTTAGCTCCTTTGAATCTTCTCCCCCTTTTCCTTTTTTTCCTCTTTTCTTCTCCTTTCTTCTTTCTCTCTCTAGTTAGTTCTTGATTCTCCAGCTTCTTCTTTATTTGTTTGATTTAGGACATGAGGTTCTATTGTGTGTGGTTGGGGCAAAAGATGGAAAATCATTAGTTAGCTAATTTCCTCGCTTAGATTTAATTAATCAAGTTTAAAGCTAAATAATCTAATCTTATCCTAATCTTACTTAACCTAATTAATTAGGTTCACTAATCATACTTAGTTACTATTAATCCTAATTAGCAAAATGACAATTAGCATGAAATGGTCAAGTTTGTTAGACTAAGGTCTTTAAGCTTCTCATTTAAGGTATAGGCACATCCTATGATTCCCAAATCAAGTTCTAAGCTATCCCCTAACTCAAAACACATAACAAAACAATTCTAACGTAACTTTTCAAACTTCTTCTTCTCATCCTATTGCTAGCAAGTCCTAAATCACATAGGCACATAACATATCATATGAATGCATGAATAATGAGATATACATGATGCATGAACGGTTTGGTTGTCACAAGGCCTCAGGAGAACCAGCCCACAACAAATATGGGTCCATCATCCTCGTTTGTTAGAGCAAATCAACTCAGTATGTAATGAACGATCGATCATGTAGGTTGGCTGACGGAAAAACCTTGCGAGTGAACAAACCGGGGAGCTCAGATCAACTTGACCACCACCGTCACACTCCATACCTAGTATGATATGACCTCAATTTACAGAGAACGTGGCATGATTGAAGGATGTCCCTTACCACTTACGTCTGCTGCTGGATCGCCCGGCGGGGAGGGGGGCGTGAACCTACACACCAGTACTATTTTGCATGCCTCAAGAATAGTACCACGTGATCCACGATAGGAGGAGCAACAAAACCACAATCACACTAGATAAGAAGTTCTATATATGCTCATCAACACACACCTTGAAGTGTATACACTTGGGTAGTATTTGGTTCACTAGAATGGAGTAGAATGGAATGATTATCCCATCAAAGTTTTCATTCACATGTTAGGTGTGAAAGATAAATTTGCAAATAGAATCATCATTCCCCATTATAAGGGAATGATCATTTTGTAGGAGAGCCTAAGGAATGATTATTCCATTTCACTTCATTCTAGTGAACCAAATAGAGCATTACATTCTCCGTTTTGTCTTCGTCTCCAAGATATCTGACATTATCATCAAAGGGCCCTTGTGAGAAAGACACCCACCGGTGAGTTATCAAGGGTTTGTTTGCAGGTTCAACGAGGAAGAGCCCAAGTTCGACTCTAAAGCCCATGCTCACCATCTATCTAGTCCAGCCTGTAGGCCCACCATTTACTAATCATCAATTGTGAAAATTTTAATCTATTAGATGAGATAAAATAGTGTTATATATATGTAACATGTAATGTTAATCGGGAATTTTACTATTTTATAAAAATTATACAACACTATATACAATAAATGATATTGTTAAATACAAATATACAAGAAGTGTTCAATGGAAAGTATCAGATACATATCCCACACCCTTGTCCAAGTGTCCAGTGTCTGATATGGGTATTTAATTTATTTTGAAGAGTCCATATAACATAGATAGTGTGATATGATAACATCCCTAGTATACTGGTGTAAATCTTAGATACATGAAGCGGGGGGTGTAGAAGCGGAGGCACGTAGAAGAGTTTGAGGTTGGGAGAGCATTTATATATTTGTATATGAATATATCATAAGAAATATTGTTGTTTAGTTGTAATATTTATGTATGCGTCTACATTATGACAACACTTCAACTATGTTTGTAAATTCTCATTATAAAAATTATAATTCATCACCAATAACATACAAATTTACTCCTCAATCCTCTCAAATGCAAATTGAAAGATCTCCAAAAAGGCATCATCCTTTTAATTCTTACAAGGAAAGCCAAAATAAAAAGTACGCCTAGTTTGGATACTTAATTAATTATTTTTATTAATTTTGGAGTATTGGATACCTAATTTTGAAGTATTGGATACTCCAAGTCGCGTGTTACTTCTTTATGAAATTAGAATTGTACATTTTTT